TGCTAGAGCCTTTCCCGATGTAAGTATTATAGTGAGTTATAGTAGCGAGAGTTATTATAACTCACGCTGTTTGTTTACAGATACTATTAATTGTACTGTTGGTCCATTGTCATTCCATTGTTGATTCCATGACATTGTGGAACTTACATCCTTAATTCATTGTTCAACCAATGTATTATACAAAGGACCCCGCACTTTTAGTACGTAAAATGGTTCTCGGTGAAATTTTCTGAATTTTCAGTATGTTGTAGAATTCGATGAACTGACTGAACCTGCAGAATCGTAAAGTTCTTTGATGAACAGATTCTGAGATACAGGGCGTTGAAGTTACAAATCGGTATTTTTCATTTAATTATTTTCTCGAAATTCAAAGATGCCAAGTACAATTCTCTTCGCTCATATCAATAACGAACCTCCATATTACTCAACATAATTCAGATGGTTCAGATGATGTAATTGTTTACAGAGTGAAACATATAAACATTTCAGTGATGTCTGAAAATTCGATGTGATAATGAAATATCGAAAAAATAATTTAGGCATGCAATATACTATTCTCATTCCATCATGAATCACAATTCATACATTTCATACAGGGTGATTTGAAAAATTGGTGACACCTAAGACCGATTTATTCATACACATTCTGTATATTCGAGTGAATTGTTAACCTTTCAAGATAGCTGATACCGTATGAACATGATTTCGTTGAGATATATAGGGTGATCATGAAGATTTTCGATGATGAAAATGACAAAAAATCGTGTTTTTTGAAATCACCCTGTTATTCATGATTAACTCGGTGAAATTCCCTAATTATTTTTCAATATATTCATCATTCGCTCCTCAACGCTGTCTTGAAAATTCAGTTTCCTATAATGACGGGTGTCATAGTTTTATTTCAGGAACTTACCATTGGCATGAAGAGTTGAAGAGACTTGTTCAGTTATATTCGCATAGTGGCCGATATTTTTCACAAATAGTGAAACGTGAGAATATGGAGACGAAAATAAGTTTAGTATTCATATACAGGGTGAACATTAGAAATTCAATAACAATAGCAGATATATGAATTTAATAATATTAATATAATGTACAGATAGTTAGGCGAATTTCGTTGGTATACAAGCTCTGCCAAAATGAAAAACAAACAATACCTAGGAGATGGGAGAATGATTCGGTCTTTCACGCTTCCATTTCTAATAGGGAGAGTTGAATCCTGGAATCGAAATTCGTCTAACTATCTGTACATTATATTAATATTATTAAATTCATATATCTGCTATTGTTATTGAATTTCTTATGTTCAACCTGTATATGAATACTAAACTTATTTTCGTCTCCACATTCTCACGTTTCACTATTTGTGAAGAATATCGGCCACTATGCGAATGTAAGTGAACAAGTTTCTTCAACTCTTCATGCAAATGGTAAGTTCCTGAATTAATAACTATGACACCCGTCATGATAGGAAACTGAATTTTCAAGACAGCGTTGAGGAGCGAATGATGAATATATTGAAAAATATTTAGGGAATTTCACCGAGTTAATCATGAATAACAGGGTGATTTCAAAAAACACGATTTTTTGTCATTTTCATCATCGAAAATCTTCATGATCACCCTATATATCTCAACGAAATCATGTTCATACGGTATCAGCTATCTTGAAAGGTTAACAATTCACTCGAATATACAGAATGTGTATGAATAAATCGGTCTTAGGTGTCACCAATTTTTCAAATCACCCTGTATGAAATGTATGAATTGTGATTCATGATGGAATGAGAATAGTATATTGCATGCCTAAATTATTTTTCCGATATTTCATTATCACATCGAATTTTCAGACATCACTGAAATGTTTATATGTTTCACTCTGTAAACAATTACATCATCTGAACCATCTGAATTATGTTGAGTAAAATGGAGGTTCGTTATTGATATGAGCGAAGAAAATTGTACTTGGCATCTTTGAATTTCGAGAAAATAATTAAATGAAAAATACCGATTTGTAACTTCAACGCCCTGTATCTCAGAATCTGTTCATCAAAGAACTTTACGATTCTGCAGGTTCAGTCAGTTCATCGAATTCTACAACATACTGAAAATTCAGAAAATTTCACCGAGAACCATTTTACGTACTAAAAGTGCGGGGTCCTTTATTATCCAATGCCGTGAAGATAGTTTAATCTTGATCCATATAAAATACACCATTGTACCAGCACAATGAAAGTTCAGCCAACGTATACTATGATTGAAACAACAATAAACATATACTTTTCATCACAAAAAAATGATGCCAGTGGTATGCCATCGATCAAATCATTCTGCCAATGAATCGCCAGTTATGTCGTGTTGGTGAGTTAATACAATTTCTTGATTTTTGATATTTCTATATCGGCTTTGTTATATTTAGAATAGGTCACATTGTATTTCCATTTTGAACACAGTTATCACTTGAAACTAATTACCAGCACTGAAAACCAAGCACTTTTATTAAATACCTTCAGTTGAAGGATACGATTCTCCATATGTTCAGCAGTATGGAAACGCCTACTACTACTACTGGTATTTGAATGTTTGCAGTCTTTCGATCAATTCCTGAACGAAAGCAGACGAAAGCGTACTCTTGATGTTTTTTGGAAGTAATTCAGTTGGGTTCAGGAACGAATGACAGGCTCATGAAATGAATTCAGTCGCAAGTAGAACTTATTATGACTATCGCACAAGAAATATGAGAGGTGAAAATAAATGAAATTTGGTGAAATGAAGTGTGAACAGAAAACATTCACATCAAACAATCGTCAAACAATGTTCATATCTGATTGAACCAATGATATAACATAACGTCTCACTCGAAAATTCTTCAATTATATACATGAATGTTTCATCTCTGGTAGAAGTCCGAAAACATGTTTTCCCTGATGTGACTTATTCACATTGTAAACTATCGTGGAGATGATTTCGAGTTTGATTCAGTTATTATGAAAGGTACAGTGAAGTTATCATCTATGCAGGCACAATGCATTGATCAGAATCATGGGAGGAACACCCGCATGTACTTTCGATACTTCTTATATCATGATTGCTATTATATCGAAGACTGGAACCTTTGGCACGATAATACACTACACAATGTTACACCATTAACCAAACCGATCTTTTTACACCTTGATATAATTCAATGTTCGTCGTGACATATAGCCAGGAAAGAAGTTGTTTTCTATTGAATAAACTGAAAAAGATTTGATATTCTCATCACATAGAGAATACGAATTATCAATGTATTGCTCTATATAAATATATATCCATTTTTGTATGTTATGTTCATAATTCATCTGAGAATATTCCTTTTCAACACTTTCATTCCCAATCAAGGGGTTCAAACTTGAACGATGGAAACTTGATTTTTATAGACCTCTCATCGCAGATTCGTGATAGAGTCTCAATTCAGAATTCCTTTCCACGGCCTGTATGATGAATGCCAATTTATCATACACCCAAAAACCTCAACACGTGTTTCGCTAACTATGTTATCATCTTCAGAAGAGGATCAAAACTAGAGCATTCAGTTTTAATCTCCTCCTGAAGATGCTAACATAGTTAGCGAAACAACGTAACAACGTGTCAAGGTGTAAAAAATCAGTTTGGTTAGTGATTCAACAGTGTATATAGTGTATGATTTTTATATTTCTCACATTTTTGATAAGATTTTCGTGATGCTGTTCATTGAGTTGAAAGTAATCTGCTCATTATTTCCGCAAGTGCACACCAGCGTTATCACTTATACAGCGTGTCGATTTAGTGCGAAACTCTTCGATATCTCGAAATCCATTATCACTAGAGAAGAACTTTGAGAACAAATTCCTTCCGTTATTGAAGGGTCCTATTTCAAACATTATTTCAACAATACTGAGTGTTTTATGAAAGCGAGACATAAAGCAACTTCAGTTATTGAAGAAATGTTTTCCTCAAAGTTTTTCTCAATAGGTCATGGCTTTCGAGATCGAAGAATCACGCACTAAATGGACCCACTGTATATTCGACGATCAACAACTAACACATACACATAAAAAACACCTAACTTGACTGGCATATAGCAGAGTCGAGATCAATATCGATGATCCGAACCGGACTTGAGCTACTGAGTACAAAGAATTCCGCTATAATAGTGCATTTTTTGTTTCATCACTCCATCAATTCATAACTTGATACAATTACGTACAGTTTTACATAATGATCCAATTCCATGTCAGTTGGTGAAGACAATCATTAATAATTAATAAGATGTTTCATATTCAAAATGTTTTTCGTGGGATATTTGTCTCACATTTCCTGTGACCACTGAAATGAAGATGGATTAAATAACTTGTCATGAGAGTAGAACAAACCGTGTGATTTGTGGAATATTATGCTCGATATTTTGTAATTGGATACATCATATTGAGTAATCATGGAAAAAATAATATGAACATTTGGATACCGGTCCTACCTATATCGAAATACAAAATAATAGAGCATTTGATTGCCACAAAAAAAAACAGATCCGGACCTAGGTGAAATTGATGTTTCATTGTTATGTCAAGAAGGTTCGATTTGTAATCACTGTCCTCGAACAGGTTATCAGGATCAAGAATATAAGACAGACTTCAACTTGCACGGCACACTGAGCGATTCATACTTCCTTTTTGAAGACTCTTCATAGTTTATGCAAAGTCAGTTGGAAAAACACATTACCGCAAACCGTCGGTCTCTCTGAGAATTCAAAGAGTGAGGCAGCGCGGCCCGACATTCGTTTGATGCATGGTCTGTTCAACTGACTTTGCATGAACTATACCTTTGACTCTGTTTGTGAAATTGTTAACACGTGGATGATTGGTCCGTCTTTCATTCCTGAATTCAACTGGAGCAATTCAGTTCCGTTGAGAAGTGCAGTGTCATTGCATACAAGAAAAAAATAGAATATTGCGATTAACATAGCATTCATTTTTTTTTCAGAGAGCCATTGCAGATATGTTTCCACACTGCCTCATAGTTCCATTCTTCTTCCTCGGCCTAAGTTCTGTACACTGCGAAGTGTTCACTGCTCTTGCCGATCTAGAAGACCTGCTCAGCACCGAAAGTGTCCTCATAGAGACACTGGAAAACTACATTAGAGCCGAAGAACAAAAACTAGATCTACTTAAAAGGTAACGCCCTTGGCGCAGCTAGTAAGTTTCCGTCTGTCATGCCGAAAGAGCTAATATTATCGAATATTTTTTCACATGACTGGACGTAAAGTCTTACTTCGCCGCCTGGTTTTGCGGACGTATAGTAGCACTTTTACGCCCGCGGACTTCTTTACCGCCCAGTTAATTGGTAATTCGTAATAATAAGTTTTTCTCTATAGTTCATTGGGACATTCATGTTTCAAATGTTATGGTTCCTAATCTTACAATATGACAATTCTTCCGACATTTTCGAGATGCAAAATGGTATGATCGATCCTAAAATGATCTGTGATTGCATTAATTGACAGCAAAGTGCAGCGAACCTAAAAGTCTACTTCAATTCGAAAAAAATTACTGATTTACTATGGTAACTTCGATTACTATATGACTAGTACCTACTTGTAAAAATATAAGGAAATGAACCAATGGAATTGAAAGTTAGTGTGCAAATAAATAAACCCAACAATGGAATAGAATTTAAGAAAATAATTTGAAATCTTATAATTCGAGGTTGATTCCTCCAATGATATTCTGCACTGCAACCATGATATTTTTTTGGTTGGTAAGAGGTGAAGAGGTATTCACAATGAAAAATCAAATATACCGGTCGTGTATAATATATAGACTTGGCTTCGCCCAGTCACTAACTAACACGCAGCTGTTCTTGGAATCCTACTCAAGTCCTTGATACATCAATAACTATGATATAAACAAGGCACCATCAGAACTCGACGAAATGATTATATGTCGTCCTCCGGTGGAAAACTTCTCGCAACGCTGAAGTGCAATTGCACCACATTTTCAGTGCAATAATAAGTTACCAGCTCTATCCAGAATGTCTCAAGACGTGGCTTGTTGCACCAATTCACAAACATGGAGAAGATCTCAAATGACCAGCAAGCTACCACCCTATATCATTGCTAAATGTAATGGGTAAGGTTGTGGATAGGGTCCTTCTCAGGCTGAGCGTGGCGCAGGTCAAAGACTTCAACCTGAACCTTGATGAACAATTTGCATGGGACATAGCACCACGTTCCAAGTGGCCGAATTGTTCACCTCAAAACAGGACAAAAATACAGTTATGGTCATGATGGATATCGAAAGGGCTATCGACACTGTCTGGCTCGGGTGCCTATGTGTACCATTAAGATTGTGGACTTGTTTCGTTTAATTTATACGTACATGGCTTTGCTGTGTTAAAGCTAACGTGTGATGCACTGTACGCTGATGATACAGCGATATACGCGCACTCGTGTGACTCGTATCCAAATCCAGATACTTCTGTACAAGAGGGTAATATCAAGCGTCAAGTCAGAAGTAACGTCTTATCATAGCACCTTAGCGAGGTAATATTGCCGACTATCTCGCTGATCGCTTGGAAAAATAATGATAAATATAAATTTGAAAATAATACTGTTGAAAAATTTTATGAAAAAAACCGTCGCTGTTATCACGAAGGGGCCTAACTCGATTTTCGACGAAAATGAGTTTTTCCCATATTTAGGCATGAGAAGACCTTTTCTATGTCATGACAAAGTGGCATATCTCGATATTACATGGTTTATACTTTATGGAATGATAACAATAAGGCCTATCTCAGAATATACAAAAAAATATTTTAACGTGAAGGCCAAAGTTGACATTGGCCCCTATGCCACATGTGTCATGTGTGTCTTGCTGATGGGCGAATCTTGATATATGCCTTTACGTTATAATTTTTCAGCAATAGATGGAGGGTAGTTTTTACATAGGCCACTGAGATAATATATTATTATGTATCAATTATCATAATTTCATTTCACAAAGACAATCGATCGATCAAAATTCTATCATGGCCGCTGCTCTTTTTTACACTGTGTTAAACTGCGAGAATTTGAAAAGAATAAGCCTACGTTTTTTTTCTCCTAATCACGGCCAAAATGAAGGGGACTCAGCACATAGTGCTATTAATTACGCAGTCAAGAAGGCTGGTGACTTATTTACTCCAAGCCAACTAGTGCCAGTATTTCGTCTAGCCAGACAGAAAAAACCTTATCAAGTTTATCCATTAAATTTCGATGACTTTTTGAATTTCAAAAAATTCAGCGAAGATTATAGATTCAAGTCTATAAGAACTGACGACAATGGCAAGGATTTTGAATGGACCGATATCTTTGAGTTTTCAGTAAAAAAAGATAGTCCAAATAAGATGTTCTTCAAAATCAGTCACCTAGAGACTCAATATATAATCTCTGTTCGAAGTTAAACAAAGGACCCAGGCCGATATCTTTGCTAAAATACAATGACTTAATGGCACTTTGTACTGGTAGGAAGCCTGTCATTAGATTTTGATTTGAAAGATTTATTTAGCTTTCGCTAGTTTTCTCATCATATTTTTTACAATTATTATTAACATATTTACAAAGTATAAATTCTTGAAATAACTATTAACTATACTTATAAACTATACTAAATCTTAAAGTAAACTTTTCGTAACATATTCTTGAAAATTTTAATATTTGGTGCAACTTTGACAATAAGTGGAAGGCTGTTGAAATGATGCAATCCCTGGACGAAAAGAGATTTTTGTAGAACATTCGAATGACATCTTGCTATATGGAAATTTTCTCTTGACCTGACGTTATATCTATGCATTTCCGATCTTTTCACAAGGAAAGATTGCAGATACATAGGAGCCTGTTTGTTCATGATTTTGTATATTAGTACTAAATTTGATTCTTCTATCATTTGTTCAACATTTAGAAATTTCAGCATCCTAAGCATATCTGTAATCCTTGTGTGTCTATCACATTGGAGTAATATTCTCATACACTTATTTTGCAGCTTTTGAATTCTCTGTATATCACTTTTTGTACAAGAGATAAGTAAAGACATACAATATTGAAAATGTGGATAAATAATGGTGTTATATACTACTCTTCTAGCCCAAAATGTTAGTTTTCTAGATATTCTTCCATAATATCCCATTTTTTTCCCTAATTTTTTACAAATATTATTCACTTGAGGCCCAAAGTTCAAATATGAATCTACTTGTACCCCTAAGTACTTAATCTCCTGCACAAAGTCAATCACTTCCTGTTCTATATGAATAACGTGGTTTTCGTTTGAGAATGACTTACAGTTATTTTTTGAGCCCAGAACCATACATTTCGTTTTCTTTACATTAAGCTTCAACCTATTATATTTCAACCAGTTACTTAATTCTTTGAGTTCTGCATTCATTTGAATAACTACTTCCTCATGATTTTTTCCACATATCGAAATCAGGGTATCGTCAGCAAACATATTGACAAAAGAATCTTGTAAAGCATTGCCTAAATCGTTGATATACAAAATGAACAATAGCGGACCCAATACACTGCCTTGAGGCACCCCATATTCAGTCCCAACTTTTTCCGAACAGTGATCTTGATATTTGGTTGTTTGAAATCGGTCTTCAAGATAATTTCTTAACCATTTCAACACGACACCCTTCATTCCATACTGTTCACATTTATTCAGCAACATTTTTCGATCAATAGTTTCAAACGCTCGCTTCAAGTCCACAAAAACACTGACCACAACGTTCCCTTCATCGATCTCTTTCCTCCATTTTGAACAAACATATTGACATGCTGTTTCGCAAGAGTGGTTTTCTCGGAATCCTGATTGTCCAACGTATAGAATTTCATTTTGCCTCAAGTAACAGCTCAGCTCCTCACAGACAACTATTTCTATCACCTTCTCTACAACCGGCAATAGATTTATAGGCCGGAGATCTTCAGGTTTTTTTGGACATCGAACTTTTGGTATAGGTACTATCAAGCTGCATTTCAGTTCTGTTGGCATCTTGCCAGTTTGAAGAGAAGTATTCACCAGATATAGAAGTGGATACCCGATCACACAGAATAGATCTTTCATAAGTTCAATTGTTATTATATGATCTCCCGAAGATTTATTTTTCAGTCCAGAAATTACTTTCTTCAGCTTATTTAGAGATATCGTCGGAAAAACCTCAATAGTTGATTGAACTGGATAAATTTCTGATTCAAAATCTGTTTCAGGTTCAGGTATTGTTTCAGCTATTTCATTTACACTGTCTAAAAAATAGGTATTCATTTTATCAACTATTGGAATGTTGTCATCGTCATCAAAATTAATTTCAGTAAGATCTACTTCATTGGTTTTTTTATTCACCATTTCTTTGAGAGTTTTCCACATTTTTTTACTGTCATTACGACACATGTCTATATGGTTCTCGTAATAGGTTTTTTCTTTTTCTCTTAATAACTTCACCACTCCATTTCTCTTTCTTTTGTAGTTTGCATAGTCTATTGCATTATTTGTGTATTTGAATATTTTATAGAGTCTGTCTCGTTCTCTTTGAGCATCTCTTATGTCTCCATCTATCCAGTTTTTATTATTAGTTCTGCAGTATTTTTCGATTGGAGATATTTTTTCCACTGATGAAACTATATTACTCAGGAACGTCTGATAAATCACATCAACATCCACTGAATTATACTCCTGACGATGTTTTGTTTTACAGTTCTTTGCCGCACACACAAACATAGTATCTAGTTACTAAGGTTAGTCAGAATTCATGTGTCAACTCAGAGTACCATTTCAGTTAAAAACTGTCAAAGATTCAGAATTTTGTTTTTTATTTTAGTTAATTCTGTTTTTCTTCAGTAAAATATCACCTAATACTTAGATTTTGAGATGGATTTTTTTTTGTTCCATATGTTTTGTAAGTTCTTTCTCAATACAAATGAATATACTGAAAAATCGTCTACCTTTTCATTGAAAAACACATATTTGTAAGAATTGATAGAGGGGCCTATCTGGTTTGATGTAGAAACTAGAACTATTATTATTTTCACGAATGGGCCTATCTTGATCAATATTTTATTAAAACGAAACACGTGAAATTTGAAAAAATATATATATGCCTCATTATTCTACATTGATTTGTCTACGTAATTTTGAAAGAATGAATTGAATTGAGACGTGGAAGCCAGTGATACAGCCAAAATGAACACCGCAGTTTTCTTTAAACCACTCTCCTGAAAAGTTGTGAATATCGAGATAGGCCCATTCGTAATGACAGCGACGAAACACTTCCCAAGAAATCAAAATGCAGGAGTTAGGTGGTAGTGTTACTTCATTCACGTGTCACTTGCTGCATATTCAGTTACCGGAAGAAAGGAAGGATAAAAGACAGTATAATGAGGAATCCAATTCTTCTCTACCTATACTCAACAGGGTGATCATTTGAAATTCCTTTCCCATAAATGTCTTCGATTTCATAATAGCATAATACCCGAGATAATACATCGTTTATTCAAATATCCTATTATTTCATGATAGAAATATAACCATCTGATGTTCTGAAAAAAGGAAGACATTTTCTTTTGCAATTTTAGCAGCCAAAGTTTCATGTTGCGTCCTAGTAATTGTTAGGTAGCAAGGTAGCATATGGATGTTCTCGAAGAAAAATATCAGTTGATACAACTGAATTCGTATAATCGATGTGATGAGATTGAATGATGATGCACACATACAATTTTCTATTCATCTACTTGTCACTTCACTTCACATCTTACAATAGAGAATGACGGCTCATGCGCAAAAAAATAGAAAAACAAAATGGAAGACAAAACACATCAACTGTCGATTGTCACAGAAAATGCTGTCAATAAATTGCATCTGATATAATGATGGTCCATTGTCATTCCATTGTTGACTTCATGACATTGTGGAACCTTCATCCTTGATTCATTGTTCAACCAGTACTGTTCCACTTCACAAAATGTATTATACAAATTTATTATTCAATGCCGTGAACATATTTCAATCTTGATTCATAGGAAATACAGCATTGTACTAGCACAATGAGAGTGCAACCAACGTATTATACTGTGATTGAAACAACCACTACTTTTTCATCACCGAAAAATGTTGCCAGCGGTATGCCATCGATCAAATCATTGGGCCAATGAATCGCCAGCTATGTCGTGTTGATGGGTTAATAGACTTCCTTGATTTTTGTAATTTCTTTTTTGCCTTTGTTATATTTAGAATGGGTCACATTGTATTTTGATTTTGAACACAGTTATCACTTGAAACTAATTACCAGCACATTTCATTACCTCAAATATATGCTGAGAATGTATTGTATCATATTTGTCGTTATTGTTGGTGTTTTTGTTGTGGTTCATTTTGTTTGTTTTCAATTCTGCGAATCGTTTTATCAATGAAGTTCTTCGGAGAGGAAATCCCAGATGATTTAGCATTATGAATATAAAACCTAATATATTGAGCTACATACAGTTTTTTTCAAATTGTGTGCATGACATGTTGTTAGTCTGGCAAATATACGGATATAAAATTCGATTTTTCCGTTCTACCTTGGGCCATATCCTGCGTAAAATGGTCTATTTGGTAGTTTTTTGCTATTTTCGGAAACTTTTTCCCCATATTAACATCGCAGTTTCATCACTCGGACAAGTAATTTCAAGAACTGTTTTCATCATCATAAAATATTCAAGGATTTGTATTGTGACAGAAATTATGTTCGGTCGTAAATTGGCGACAAAATATTATCAGCATGTAATGAATTTTTTCCAAATGTTGTACTCAATATATTCAAATAGCGTTATGTAACGACAGGTTATTCCACATCCTCTTACCTTGTCTCGTCCTAATCTGCTGCTATAGTGTCACGATTCAGAAAAGGCATGAAGTCATTGTTGGAAGTTCTCCAATTCAGAGCATTTTCATTAAAGAATGGGATTTGCACCTCTCATTATTTTTATTCACGACTAATATATTATACTTGTGGTTTTTGAAGTATAATGCCATATATTAATCCCGCAGGGAATAAAGACTATTAATCCCTCGCCATTATTCCCTGCGGGATTAATATATGGCATTATACTTCAAAAACCACAAGTATATATATTAGTCGCAAATAAAGTAGAGTATACTACTCGCAATAATGGCTATTATTCTCTCGGAATGTTACTCCCTCGCCGCTAACGCGGCTCGGTTCGTAAAAAATCCTCGAGAATAATAGCTATCATTATTGACTCGTGGTATAATCTACTATTATGGTTGTGGGTCTAGTTCACATTCTAAATATTTATATAAATACATACAAAGCTTGAAGTCATGTCCACAAATGTTCATAAGATGAACAACAATGGAAGATGACGGAAGATAAATAACTACTTTCCTGGGTAATGCGCCACGCAAAACTTTGAATAACATTCTCTCCAAATCTGTACATCGATTTGTGGAAACAAATACAGATTCAAGTGTTTTTTTCCTGAATGCCTATTGATTTCGATTTAGCCAGGTTAACGCTCGACACCTACATACGGGTTAAGAGCTCTTTGGCTTCCATCAGTATGGAAAGGTCTTTAACTAGCAGTCCGAAGATTGCCAGCTGAGCGTAACCTGACCAAAGATACAGAAAGATACAGAAATGAACCCTGAATGACACAATACTATTCGGAAGAGCCTAAGCTATTATTTCGGCAAGTGAGCTGACATCTTCAGATAAACTGAAGAAGAAGAAATTGGCAATATTCTTGTTATAATTAATTATTTCGCGGTTTTGTCTCTCTTTCTCGAAGAATATAAGCTTTTTTCATTATCTCCTGGAGCGTACGAATGGAAATTCCTAGTATGTTCGAGGTACATCCTGCATATCTAGAGAGAATTGAATGAAGAGATGATATAGGCATTGGAATTTCATTTGGAACTTCTGGAGATTATTTAGTACTGAAAATACTTCCATTGGCAAAGTGTTCCAAAGGTTCGTCGTTCTATAGACAAACAGATTCTGATAAATCTCAAGCTTGTCCAGTACGACTGGCTGGCTCTGGTATTGCATAGCAAAAACATTCCTCCCAAAAATTTTCCGTAGGATTATCTATGGAAAAAATTGGAGGTCGTCTAGTTTTCTACGGTGGTTTGATGATGTCATGGAATAAGTGAGTGTGGCATCACCCATCAGGCGAATGGCTCTTATCTCGATGGAATCTATGAGCAGCAGCTGGGTGCTGCAGAATGAACGCCATATATGGGAGTAGTATCCTGAAACTAACTGTATCAGTATTTCGTATGAAAGATTGTCGCGAGAAGTGAAGCAGCTTTTTGCTGGAAAAATGAATCCGAGTTCTTTTGTAGCAACTTTTGCGATAGATTTGATATCGTTCAACTGATAAACCGACAATAAAAGTCCCCTGTTAGATATGCAGAGAGAGATTGCAGAGTGATAGTAAATTATGTATCCTGAACGTATTATCGAGCTATCGATTCAGAAATTCAATGATATAAATAGAGAAGAAACTATTGAAGAAATATAGAGGGTGTGTACTTGAATCGTCCTTATAGGATACATATTCGAGAAAATATACAAAATTTCATATCACTCTCAGGAATTGAAATTCGTACCAATATCGTTCATTGTGACACAAAGTGCACAAAAAAAAGGCCAGGATTGTGAGTTTTGAATTTTTCTAGATATGGTTTCGAAAAAGTATACCAAATTGCTCATTGATTGATGAAACAATTTATCTTCTATCACTTTCAGTTCCACCGGAAACGACCCCAACCCTTGATTTTGTAATCGGAACACCCTGTAATGTTTTTCATATTTGGTTCGGGATTATCTTGACAAATTCAACGATACCGGGTTTGATAGGGTTATTACAAACGATTACAAAGATATTTGCGGTCGAAGTTTCCATATGCTGAATGGGTGTGACTTCGCAATTAATACAGCAATATCAAAACGTCTTTCTCTGTCATACTCATTGAGCATATGGAAACTTAGAACACAAAGATCTGCGTAATCGTTTGAAATAACCCTATCAAACTCGATGTCGATGAATTCGTTATGAGAACCCCTAACCGATCATGGAATACAATGGTGTCCCTTTTACAATTCGAAAGTTGGGGTCGTTTTTAGTAAAACCGGAAGTTATTGAACAAAAATTGTTTCATCAATCAATGAGCAATTAGGAATACTAGCTGCCCATCAATTTTCAAAACCCTATCTCGAATTATTCAAAAGTTATACCGTCCTGGCCGTTTTTTGTGCACTTCTTTGTATATTCACGTCATTTGTTATACTCGATATCTTTCGTTTTTTTCTCTTCAATCGACAATTATGAAATACTGTTGGGTAGATTTTCCATCTGATGTCTCCATTTCATTGCAGATTTGCAGATATTTATCAGAAGCAACATAACTTGGCTTCGGAAGACGTTCAATTATATGTATCAAACCCCATCAACGCATATCTGTTGGTCAAAAGACTGACTGCAGATTGGAAGCAAGTTGAATCATTGATGGGAACAGTAATCAGCCACGGTAAGTGAAATCTTCAGTTCGTTCAAGATATAATGTATTGGATTTTTCAACTTCTGAATGCTTTCATACTATAATCTGATAAGGTTTCGTTATTTTATGACGGCGAATTGATTTCTTTCACGCCAATTACTCAAAACAGGTCCAATCATTTTATTTATGTATTATATGGTGATGTCAATTATCATACTATTGATTATCATAAAGCAAATTCGTAGAACGGTGACGAACAGTATTGTTAACAAAAATTTGATTTTGAGACTATGAAGGTTATTATTCGATTGATTCACTTCGCATATTCTTCAAAATTTCATCAAATTCAATGAATGATATCAAACCGATGCCGACGAATAATATATGATACACGCATCCCAGGCAACCAGATGATGAATATTCACGTCACTGTAACGTACTCAATTGGTGATTCTTCGTCAGAGACGTCACACACCAATTCCTGATGTCACTATGACGTACTTTCTATGACGTAATAGTCACGTCATCATAAACGACATTGGGTAAATATCACTTAGATGTGTTAAATATTACGCCAGCTCAATGACGTTGCAGAGACGTCGTGTCAACGTCATATTTCCTTATAGAGTTCGGTATGTGCTTGTATAATTTATATACAGGGTGTTCCAAAGTGGAGGCCCTATTAAACGGTTCTAGAGAACAGTTTATATAGGATAATTTTGATAATCTGGTTTCTTGGGTAATCAGTTCTGTTCTTTCAATCTGAAATGGGTTTCAACCCAACTCAACTCTCGATTTATTATTTAATGACAATCAATTCAAACAGATACAGGGTAGGGCTATTGATGATTCAAAATTTCAAATTCGGCACAATGAGATGGGAAGATGAGAGCCATTTGAACCAATAATGAATTCCTTTTGTTTGAAAAATATCGATTTTGTGTGAGATCACCCACCAGACGAATGACTCTCTTATTAGAATCTAAGAGCATCAGAGTAAGTTTGTTTGGGTGCTGAACTCCATATATGAGAACAGTATTTTAGAACAGCTCATCGATGTTCATGATTTTCATATTTCGATTGTTTGTTGAGGGATAGTTTCTGAATCAGAAATTATATTTCTTCATAGAGCGTATTCAGCAGGTCTAGAATGATTTTGTTCAGAACAAAATCTTGGGCAACATGTATTTCAATTGAATTAATATTTATTTACTCCGGAGGATTGTTGAGGGGTAGTTTCTGGTTCACAAATCATTCCATTGTGTGGAGAGTGTTCATTTATTGTCGAATTATTGAATCACATAATAGAATCGCGATCAAGAGATCTTCCAACTCTTTTCATGATTTTGCTGTTTTGAGGAGTACCTTCATGGGGTGGTTCAAGTATCACAACTTATTTCACTGTTGAGAGTTCTCTGCAACTGCTTCAGATGAGCGGGGTCGCATGAAAAATCTCCAACATTAGTATATTATTCCATAAGCGATTTTTGTTAAAACCGTTGCCAAAAAAACTGTTGCTACTTTTTCACCCATCTCCGGTGTTTTTTCTAGACATGCATTGGTGCGTACTTGACTTTTTTTATCGCTTGAAGCGCACGAAAAGGAATCCCTATAATGTTCAAAGAACATCGTGCGTTCCTAGGGAGGATAGGATCAGGAGGTAGGTATTGGAATTTTTTTGAACTTTTGGAGATTATATGTTGTTGGAAATACTTCCACAGGCAATGAATTCCAGAGCCTAGCCGTTCTATGGATGAAGGAGTCTTGATAAAGTGCTGTTCGACATCTTTCGAGGTTGACAACGAAAGGATGTGCTGACTGGGCTTGTCTAGTTCGTCTGATTGGTATTGCTAGTGAAGGGATGATGGCAGAGATTTCCGAAGAACATTTCCCGTGGAAGTATCGATTGAAAATTGAAATGTCTCAATGATGTCAAAGAGTGAGTGAGTGTGGCGTCACCCACCAGGCGAATGGCTCTTCTCTGGATGGAATCTAATAGCATCAGCGTACGTTTTGGTGCTGAACCCCATATGTGGGAACAGTATTCTAGAACAGGCCGTATCTGCGCTTTGTAGATCATGAGAAGCTGTTGAGGTGTGAAGTAGCCTTTCGCACGGAACAAGAATCCGAGTTTTTGTGCAGCAGCTTTTGCGATGGATCTGACATGATTATCCCATGAGAGAGTGTTGCTGATGGAAATTCCGAGCATAGATATGGTGGGCTTGGTGGGGATGGTGGAGCCAGACATTACAACATCGGGCATACTGAGCTCCGCCTTTCTAGAGAAAATGCAGGCTTGAGTTTTGGTGGCGTTGAATTCAACTAGGTTGTTTGTTCCCCAGGCTGTGATTTCAGCAAGATATTCATTGACAGCATTGACCTGCCTGCGCCGTTTGTTGTCAAGGTTAAGCATTTGCCTGATAATTGTCATTCAATTCCTCTGAGGCAATATCTTCGAAGTATGCTCCTAAAGTATTGATTTGGTAATATTAACGTAATATTTGTTTCACTTCATGACTCTCCACCGCTCTCCACTTTTGAGACATCACAACATTGTTTATTTGATATTTTTGTAATTTATTGGGAGCTGTCAAAACTATGTCAATATCTTCAAGCTTTGTGGTGATCATTTGCGTACTGATTCGTCTAACCAACAGAATCAAGTGAAGTACATATAGGAGAGTCAGATATCAGGGTTTGTCATACCCCACTATATATCTGATGATATGATTTTTCGAAGCACTGCTACCATGTTGAAACAATATCTCAATAATATATCCATTCGGTTCAACTTGACCACGATGTCTTTGTTTTCTTGATTGTAATTTGATTTCTTCTTTCAGATTACTTGATGAACATTACCTATTTCAAAGAGACCTTAAAGTTTCCTACTGACGAAGATCTGAATGGGGCAGCAGTTGCTCTCACTAGACTGCAGGATACATACAGGTAAATTGTTTACGATTGAATCATTATTTATGTTATTCATTGAGTATAAGGTTTAGACGTTACCACCTGGAAACAAAGACTCAATGCTCTAACGTAAGCACCTTTCAACTTTGATCATTCTCCAGATATAAATACTCGTAGCAAAGTTATTGTCAATGGAAGAGAATCTTGCTCTATCCTCAAAGATGTATGAGTTGATGTAGTATAATTATAAAAAAATTCATCTTCGCCGTTTCAGTCGTTGGGAAAACATTTGAATCAATATCTATGTTTCAAGTTTTCCGCAGATTTGAAACCTTGGAACAAGAAGACAAAAGTTTCATTGTAGTCAATTTATTGACTTGTGATGAATCGAATATTTCGAAGACAATACATTATACCTAGCACATTGATGTGAATTTATTCCATTCGAAACTCAAAAATACTCTTGAATATAATTCTTAATAGCAGAAAGGACTACTAAAATCTCATTTGGCAAATAGAACTGAAGAATGAACTCACTGGTGGTGTCGGTAGGGATTTCAGTAAGCTGTTGGGGGGTGTTCAGGAAGCTGTTGCGGGGTGGTGGATAAAGGTATCATCAGGTTCCTATTATAATCACAAACATATGAGTACAATCATTCGAGCCTATTTCAAGTTTCCGGCAAATTTGTTCAACTCTGACTCTTGTTATGGAAAGAAATGATTGACAACACTGTTCAAAGTTGAGCAAAGATATCACGGCATTCTACTCATGAAATGGTTACTAAGCATTAGTTCCTTGATAGCACACAACGTCCAAGGGACGTCCCTATTTGGTACAATTCAAGTCCGAATGTCCCTGACCAAGAATAAGTGTCCTAAGGACGTTCCATCTCGTACATCTCATACAATGTCCGAGCAAGGACGTCCATGGTATGTTCCAGCAGGCACATCATTTCAAATGACCTAGAAATAGTATCTCTCAGACGTCCCACGTGGTACATATTGTAGAATATGTCAATGCAAGGACCTCCTCGGCACGTTCCTTCAGGGACATTCATCGGATGTCCCGAGTAGTACATATTCTGACATGACTTCAGATCTTATAAAATGTCCCTTCTTTACAACCATGGAATGTTCCTGATGTTTCATTTCCTCAAATATTTCTGCACAGACGCCCTTAATATTTCCAGGATCGTATAACAATCGGAATGTCCCTTAGGGACATCTTTCGAATGTCCCTTAGGGATATCCGTCGGATGTTTCAATTGGTACATAAACTATACTCTTCCAATGCCCTAGAAATAACGTCCTACGGACGCCCCGGCGGTACTTTCAATATATGTTGTCCCTGCGAGGACGTTAATTCACTAGGAATGATTCGTACGTTCCTGAGACATCCTATTGACATCCAATCGATATCACTCAGCGTTGATGATAGGTGGTCCTACGGATGTCCTCCGTAGTGCTTGATGAGGAATACTGTAGGGTTAAGGTATTCGATAGTTGTCCCTCAAGGACGTCCCTAGTTGGTCCCCAAGTGGGACATTTGTGCGTCCAACAGATGTCCAATGAACGTCCACGGTACCAAATTCGAACGTCCCATGGACGTTCTGAATGTCCCGGCAGGACGTCCTAAGGATATCCATGGCTCATAATTGTGTTATTAGGGTTATATGGAATGAACGCCGTATATTTGAATAATCCTGTCTTTTCACTTGAAGCTTCTAATGCTATCTTTTACTGTCATATCTCTGATTACAGTCAACAATTTCATCATAAGTTAGGTTTCTTATTTTTTAGGTAATGTCTGGAAATTTGAAGTAGGGATCACAAACTGCAAATGGATAGTTCTTTGTTTCCATTGTGTCAATTGTTTCCTCCATTTTGTTGAAAATCTTGAGCCAATTTGGCAAATTAAAAAAATCCCTCGAAACGGTCGAAGAAGCGTGAAAATTACAAAAAAACAAAGAGGTTCAAGGAAAGAATAAACATTTCATATTGTATTTCAAATTTTACCAGTGGCGCACCACAAAAAATTCAATGGAGCGAAAAAGCAGCAGGGCTTGACTCAACAAAAAATATTTCTCTGCGGATTCTCACAATTACTTAGTACACTGTGTATGATGAGAACCCTAAAACGTAACCTATGCTCCAAATTTGATATGAGAGAGACATGGGGAAAAAATTTGAAATTGAAACGATTTGGACGTCCACGGTACCAAATGCGAACGTCCCATGGACGTTCTGAATGTCCCGGCAGGACGTCCTAAGGATATTCATGGCTCATAATTGTGTTATTAGGGTTATATGGAATGAACGCCGTATATTTGAATAATCCTGTCTTTTCACTTGAAGCTTCTAATGCTATCTTTTACTGTCATATCTCTGATTACAGTCAACAATTTCATCATAAGTTAGGTTTCTTATTTTTTAGGTAATGTCTGGAAATTTGAAGTAGGGATCACAAACTGCAAATGGATAGTTCTTTGTTTCCATTGTGTCAATTGTTTCCTCCATTTTGTTGAAAATCTTGAGCCAATTTGGCAAATTAAAAAAATCCCTCGAAACGGTCGAAGAAGCGTGAAAATTACAAAAAAACAAAGAGGTTCAAGGAAAGAATAAACATTTCATATTGTATTTCAAATTTTACCAGTGGCGCACCACAAAAAATTCAATGGAGCGAAAAAGCAGCAGGGCTTGACTCAACAAAAAATATTTCTCTGCGGATTCTCACAATTACTTAGTACACTGTGTATGATGAGAACCCTAAAACGTAACCTATGCTCCAAATTTGATATGAGAGAGACATGGGGAAAAAATTTGAAATTGAAACGATTTGGACGTCCACGGTACCAAATGCGAACGTCCCATGGACGTTCTGAATGTCCCGGCAGGACGTCCTAAGGATATTCATGGCTCATAATTGTGTTATTAGGGTTATATGGAATGAACGCCGTATATTTGAATAATCCTGTCTTTTCACTTGAAGCTTCTAATGCTATCTTTTACTGTCATATCTCTGATTACAGTCAACAATTTCATCATAAGTTAGGTTTCTTATTTTTCAGGTAATGTTTAGAAATTTGAAGTAGGTCTCACAAACTGCAAATGGATAGTTCTTTGTTTCCATTGTGTCAATTGTTTCCTCCATTTTGTTGAAAATCTTGAGCCAATTTGGCAAATTAAAAAAATCCCTCGAAACGGTCGAAGAAGCGTGAAAATTACAAAAAAACAAAGAGGTTCAAGGAAAGAATAAACATTCCATATGGTATTTCAAATTTTACCAGTGGCGCACCACAAAAAATTCAATGTAGCGAAAAAGCAGCAGGGCTTGACTCAACAAAAAATATTTCTCTGCGGATTCTCACAATTACTTAGTACACTGTGTATGATGAGAACCCTAAAACGTAACCTATGCTCCAAATTTGATATGAGAGAGACATGGGGAAAAAATCTTGAAATTGAAACGAAGCATTCATTATACCCAGTTGACCAAAAGATGCCGCAGCTTTATCCCTGCTGCATTTCAAATGTTCCATGTTTCATCACAGAGATGTTATCATCAGAGATATAGCATAGATGAATGTCCGCCTCAAATGAAATCACAGACTTATATCAGTGATGCAACATCAGACTTTAATCAGATATGCTCCTGTGAGATCACAGTGATGACTATGTATCTACATAGCTCTCTCCATGAGCATGCCAGAGACGTTTCTGATAAATCTGTGCTCTGCATTAGCTCCATCTCAAATCATCCATAAATTTATACTGGTTCCACCAGTATAAGAATCAGTTTCGAATGCAACACCATAATGTTTAGGATATATTCTTGGATTTTCAAATGTTGAAATCAAAAAATCCATGAATATACCCCTAAACACATGGAGTGGCATTCAAAACAGTGAAACAAAAGGAGTAAAAATGTGAACTTTATTCCAATCCATTGACAAATTACTAAACAAACCTCAAAATATATGTAAAATAAAAATATGAAATAGAATATACAGGGCGTTCCCAGTTATCATGATGATCACAGCATGGTTTTCTTCCATAACTCCTTCATTTATTTCCTTTTTACCTGTAGATTCCATCTCTTGGAAGTGATGCATAGAATAGTTATCATTCATTTCCATGGGAGATCATTGTTTTGTTTTTACTGTTCTCTCCAATAACCATTTTTCCATCAAAATCGAGATCAAAATCTTTAGTTGAGCTGACTACAACTAGAATAAATATTATTTCAGTGCAAATAAAAGAATACAAAACAAGTGTTCACCTGTCATTATTGCGAAAACTCTCAGATTGGCCTAACCAGCTGGTCTTCGCTACACGGGAATCAAAACCTGGTCTCTTCAGTATATTTTTGTACCTAGTATGCTTTTGAAATCAAAATTGATGATTTTCCTCTCTTGAAGTCCAGCTGGAATAAAAATTCAATTTCAAACTACAAACTAGTAGCATACCTATATATTAATAATAAAAATATGACACAAAACACAAGATACATTTACAAATATTGTCACTAAAATTGCAGAGTTGAATTTCCTTGTTGGATACAAAGAATCACAAGTACCTAAAAAACTGAGAAATAGCCTCAAACCTAGCTAGAATTTCATGTGGTCAATGATTTATGAATGATTATTCAATGATTATAAATTTAATTGGTATACAATTGAAATGAATTCCACTTAGACATGATGGTGTGCAAACTGCAAGGGTAGGCAAATCATATCTAAAACTTATTCACCTTGGAAGGTACTGACACCGTATAGAAGTATACGGTGGTACTGATGACTACATCAGCAGAGGGCTTCGAATCACACAAGTGGCTTACTTGGAATGAAATTCATTTCAATGTCCCAATGAAACAATATAAGAGTCTTCTTGGTGATTTTGGTGAATGGCAGATCATTGTTGTTCTGGTCATTTAGTGAAATAACAAATAGGTACATTAGTTTTGTTTTGTAAACAACGAGGTATCCTTTTGTGCTGCTAATTTTGTTTCGTTACCGAATTTCTTGAAAATCCACGAA